TAGCATTGTCTACACAGCACGTTATGTTGCTTCAGGTCAACTTACGAGCACGTTTGTGTCGCAATCTTTTATTGATGGATGTCCTCTAAAACACAACACATCGGTTACTCTTAGCAAGAGCAGAGGATCTCCATGGGATATTGTGAAAAATACTTTCAACTATGATCAATCTCAAAAGTAAGCTATGGTCACTGAATACGCTGATGTCTCTCAACTATTTTCTTTATTCATTATTCATCAAATTCAGAGTCCATTGGAATGAGACTACCACCTTACTACCATCAAGGTCATTGTCTACGACAAAATTTCATGCTGATGTCAAAAATCAACTACGCTGGCTGTTAAGTAAGCAGAAATAACCTTCCTTTTTAGATAATAAACAAAAGAATGATTTGCATCTTGAATGTACATAGTCATCGGTTCAATCGAGATTGTGTGTATTGCTGTCCGTTATTTTCTTTTCACTATGATTGGTAGACGGCAAGCTTCTCGAATACGTATTCGTCTTTTACAATCCCTGCTACAACGCGTATGTCAACCATGTTCATCTTTAGACAGACACAACGAATAGGACAGAATAAATTATCTTCTCATTGTTTTCTCGGTATCTGTATTGATTATCATCATATAGACTTTAAATTTCTTTCAAAATATGTACTGCCCATGTAAAAATTGATAAAAATTTAACGATGTTAACGAAAAAAGATGTTACATTTTTGACCGTGAAAACGCGTTAAAAATTTGTTTTTAACGAAACTTCACGAGTTATTTCACGTTAAATTGTTTTCAGCAGTGTCACATATCCAAGATTTTGGAGATGCCACCACGTCTCCCGCGGGAGATGCCGCATCTCGCGTGAGAGATGCGGGTGTGGGTGTGGGGGATGCGCATATCTAAAGGAGATCTTACATCTCTAGTGGTGAATGACCATATCTCTCGAGTGTGGGTGTCGTGTCTCCCGCTGGAGACTCGGCATCTCCCACGGGAGATGTGGTGGCATCTCCAAAATCTTGGATATGTGACACTACTCATTGTTTTTAACGAGAAAACATGCGTGGAGTTTCGTTAAAAGCAAATTTTTAACGCGTTTTCACGATCAAAAATGTAACATCTTTTTTCGTTAACATCGTTAAATTTTTATTGATTTTTACATGGGTGTACAATTCTCTACAAAATATTATATTATGACCCAGGTCGAAGATTTCTGAGGCAGTATACCGTGAATTTCCAGCCGGAATCCACGAGAAATGGCCCGTACTTCTCAACCTGGGGAATCATGATAGGAAATGCAAAGTAAGTTGTGTGAAAAATAATCCTCTCTCTTCCCACAGCTTGTAACAAATATTATTCAAAGTTTCCACTATGTCTATCATTTTCAGGGATAGTTTCAACGTATTTTTCATAAATTGCTCATCGCTTCCCTCAAAATGCAATCGTAGATGTGGGTAGGTTTCTTTACTATGATTACAATGACACCATCACATTTGCTATTTTAATCTCGTAGACAATACTATGAAAGCTTTTTTCATTCCATAAAGACATAGTCTTCTTCATCTTTAGAATGCCACAGAACTATAGGACGCTACTGGGCATAGGTTTCAAATTATTTTACTTTCCTCCGCTTTTTTCTTTCGGTATTTAAATTGTAACTCAATTGTAGTTTGTTTTGTGACACCTTCACAGTTCATAGCTTCAATGAATTTAGTCAAACCAGTATTACATAAGACGAGTTGATTCTGTGAAATAAATTACAACATCTGAAAGCCTCAATATACAAGCTTCATTATTGTAAGAGCCAAACTATTCATAAACAAAAGTTAAAAAAAGCAAAAAAAAAGAGATTAAAAATCATACTTAATTATTCCATATAGTTTTGTGATATTTAACAAATAAAAAAGACTATTCATCGAATATGATATATCATTTTGTGGAGAATTACAAAACACATATTCTAGAAAAAAATCTCACATCTCAATCATCATAAAGAGTATCAAGATATCAAAAATTACCTTCGGGAGACCATTTACTCAGCTGTATCTGTTACAATCTCATTGTAGTTGTTTGATACACATGTGTATCATTTACTTCTCTCTCTCTCGTGCATAGAACGTTTCGTATTGTGATATGAATTCGATGAGTCAGTTCAATGTCAAATTGTTCAAGTAAGCAACTTTCTGTCAATATTTACAATTGAAATAACATCTAGCTCTCTCATCTCATAGCAACATTGACACTTTCAGCAAAGGGATCGGTTGTGAATTATCAGTGTTGCTCTTAGTATTCTTTTCTACTATTGGCAGTGTTTGTGTTGCACTAATCATCAATTGGAAGCTGACACTTGTCATACTATGCACAATACCATTAACGATAGCTGGATCATTTGTTTTTTCAAAGGTAAATACAATAGCTGATTATTGATATAGCTTACACTTTTTCTAAAAGCTCACTGCAAAAGAAACAAGAGTCGAATTGGATATGTACTCAAAAGCGGGAGAAGTTGTTCAAGAAGTGTTTAGTTCTCTTCGCACTGTGCTTTCACTCAATGGTGAAAAACTAGAAGAAAAAAGGTAAGAAATATATCTATTGACAAATAAATTTTGTAACCCATTAGTTATCACCATGTTCTGATTTTATTACATATATAGATACGAAAGCAAATTACAGGCAACTCGTTGGAGTAGTATACGCAAGGCTGCTGTATGTGGTTTTCTGACTGGATGGGTCTATCTAGTAGGATATATCATTTATTCAGTTGGTTTTGCTTTTGGCTCATCTCTCATGAATCATGAAGAACATGAGAGAATCACTTTTAGTGATCTTCTTGTAGTGAGTTATTCAGTTTATCAATCAGATTTCGAAAACCACTTGTCTCTCCATGTTCGAGTAGATAGTCATTACTTTGGCACGATTTATCAATAATATTGCCTTTATTGGGCCTTTCTTTCAAATATTAGAAGAAGCTCGAGGGGCTATCACGCCTGTATTCCGATTGATTGACGAAGTATAGTTGTATCTAATCGACAAATTTATCTCTTCATCATTATCTCATATAGGAACAGAAGGCAAGTATGAATGAGACACAAATATTACAAGATTCTGTTGGTTATGAAAAACCTATCAACATGAATGGTGATATTCATTTCCATAATATCAACTTTGCCTATCCAACTCGATCCGATATCTTAATTTTACGAAATCTTACTTTAATGGCACGTGCTGGTGAGATAACAGCTTTAGTCGGTTCAAATGGATCTGGTGAGTGTTTTACAAAAAAAAAAAAAAATCAAAGTCAAGATTTATAGTCTATCGTTTGTTGAATGAATAGGCAAAAGTACATGTATTTCACTTCTACTTCGTTTTTATGAACCTTTATCTGGTCACATTACAATTAATGATCAAGCGATAACCGATTGTAATATCAAACAACTCCGACAAAAGATTGGTATAGTTAATCAAGAACCTGTAAGTTTTCTTTTTTGTGTTCTAATTTTTTTTCCACTTGATATTGTTCTATGTAGATTCTCTTTGCTACAAGTATCTATGAAAATATTCGTTTTGGTAAAGAAAATGCAACAAGAATTGAGATCGAAGAAGCAGCATGTCAAGCTAATGCACATGATTTCATTATGAAATTACCTAATGTTTGTATCGAATGTTCTTTTTTAATGATATATGCTTTGTTTTCTATTTTCATAGAAATATGATACAATCGTTGGTGAACGTGGTGTTCAATTGAGTGGAGGTGAAAAGCAACGTGTAGCTTTAGCTCGTGCTCTTGTCAAACAACCAGCCTTGCTTTTGTTAGATGAAGCAACAAGTGCTCTTGATAATGCCAATGAAAAGATTGTTCAAGAAGCACTTGATCAAGCTTGTAAAGGTTTGGACATATCTATTTGTTTCAATTCTATTATTTCCAGTTTTATATAGGTCGGACGACTATTGTGATTGCTCATCGTTTGGCAACAATTCAAAATGCACATCACATTTATGTGTTGCATAATGGACATGTAATCGAAGAAGGAACACATGAGATACTGATGTCACAAGAAGGAAGTCGATATCGCGAGATGATGAAAGCTCAACAGAGAGAAAAAACAGAAAATGATATCAATGAAGCAACAAGCGTCATACAAAGAGAAGATGATGATCAACAACAAATATGTATGTAAATAAGTGACTTTTAATAAAACAATGCTTCGAACAAGATCATTTTTTATTAAATAGCTCAACATCCTCGATGTTATAGTGAAAAGGAACTTGAAGATGGAGATAAAGTAAAGAACATGAATGTATTTGTATCAAGATCGTTTTTACATGTATAGAGTACTTTTAATAGGCATCATCAGCAACAAATCGTCGACCTGTTTTCTTTCGACTTTTGTTGATGAACAGTCCAGAGTGGATCATCATTCTGATCGGTTGTGCAATGTGCATCATTAGTGGAATAGGTCAATCTATCCAGGTTATTCTACTTACGAATACAATTTCTGTAAGTCATTTTTTCGTACAACACGATTAACATTAACTTAATTGCTCGTTCACAGGTATTTGGAGCATGTACTTATGAAGAACGACATCATGAAATCGTCAAGTTTTCTCTTCTTTTTTTGTTGATGGGAGTTGTATTTTTGACCATCCGCTTGATCCAAGTAGGAACACTTTTCATAAAACGTTTAATATTTTCTGCATCAATAGTACACTGCTTTTGCTATATCTGGCTCAAAATTAACAGAACGAATTTGTACGAAAGCTTTTGCACACTATCTACGTCAAGAAATGGCCTTCTTTGATCTTGTTGAAAATAGTTCTGGAACTATTTGTAATCGCCTTTCGTCCGATGCATTAGCTATTCAGCAGATGGTTGGCTCTCGTCTAGGCATTGTTTTTGAATCAGTTGCGATGTTTGGAATTGGCATTATTCTCGGATTTTTTTTCAGTTGGCATTTGACATTAATTATGATCTTGTTTATAGTCTCTTTGTTTGTTGTTTCTATCATGCATATATGTTGGCAAGCTCGATTGAATAAACATTCTGATTATATTCTTGGACTAGCAAGTTCGGTAAGACTGAGCTTCTGATTACAATATTATGTACATTGAAATATTGCTTCTGAATTTTCTTTTCTTAATAGCTTGCTGTCGAGATCATGCACAATATGCGTACAGTGAAACAGTTGGCAAGCGAATCAGAATTCCTACGTCAATTCTCAAGTTTAGTTTCTAAAGAGTTCAAGTCAGTTTTTCAATAACTTTTCTGTTTAACTTTCATGGATTATTTCGTGATAGGGTTCGTCGAAACGATATACTCATATCCTCCTTACTAGAGAGCATCTATTGGGGAATAGCACCATTCATTTTGTTGGTTCTCTATTGGCAAGCTCGCATTCTTGTTGAACACAACGAACTCGAGATGAACAATATCTCTATGTAAACAAATAGAAATCTTTAGCATGCATTTTATCTGTATATCATTCTAGAGTATTTGGCTATTATATATTTGCTTTGGAATCTCTACGATGCATTATGACTTCGTAAGTAATGGTACTGATGGGTTTCTCATTGACAAATATTTTTTGTTTAGAACACGACAGATGAGTGACTCGTTATCAGCAGCTCGAAGTTTCTTCAATTTGTTCGATCGAACATCAGCTATCGACAATAGTTCCATGGATGGTGAACAATTGGTGAGTAATTTATTTAGTAAAAATCTGAGTTGTAAACAAATTACTTTTACCTCATGGTTAAAATGTTTTGATGATAGAGTAATTTCAAAGGTGAGATTAAATTTGATCAAGTCAAATTTGCATATGCATCTCGACCGAAATCCTTTATTCTGAATAAATTTCAGTTGATCATCAAATCTGGTAAGTTTATTCTATCTATTTTCAGTTTAATTTACAATTAAATCTTTCTATTTGTCAATCAGGTCAACGTGTAGCTCTTATAGGTATGTCAAAGTCAGTTTTTGATCATTTAAAATGGTTATAAAATCTATTTATAAAGGGGAGTCTGGTTGTGGGAAATCCACAGTTATTCAGCTCTTGGAACGATTCTATGATCCTATACAAGGTCAAATAGTGAGTATTTCTATTTTGTTCTGTCAACGTATTTATATTAACATTCGACTAATGAAATCTAGTATCTCGATGGTGTTGACATTCGACAACTGAATATCCAATGGCTTCGCTCATGTCTTGGTCTTGTTAGTCAAGAACCTATCTTATTTGATTTGACTATTGCTCAGAACATAGCATATGGTAGAGAAAATACTTCGATTGAAGATATTATTGATGCAGCCACCAAAGCTAACATTCATGATTTCATTCAGCAGTTACCTCAAGTGAGTAAAAAATATACTAGATGATGTTTGATTGTGTCGTTGTATTGTGATAATAGGGCTATGAGACCAAAGTAGGTATGAAAGGTGGTCACTTATCAGGTGGTGAGAAACAACGTATTGCTCTTGCTCGAGTTCTTCTTCGTCAACCAAAAATTTTGCTATTAGATGAGGCAACAAGTGCCATGGATTCATACAATGAACAGGTTTGTTTTCTTGTGATACTTGCTCATCAAATAGTCATTTCTGATATGTTTAGATTGTGCAAGAAGCTCTTGAAAAAGCTGAAACAGATGATCCAACTCGAACTTCACTGATCATTGCTCATCGTTTGTCGACTATTCGTTCATGTGATTTGATCTGCATTCTTGACAAAGGATATATCATAGAAAGTGGTACTCATGTAGACTTGATGGAACGACGTGGAGTTTATTATCAAATGGTTGTTTGCAGTTGTACTTCATAAATTGTCTTCATTGTAATTCTAATAAAACTGACTAACTATTAAAATAAACTATTTTTCTCAGCTAACTCCTTGCCATCCGGCGACATATATGTACATTCGAATTCAGTTATTGAACAAAGGTTTCAGCAACATATTCTTCGATTATTTAGAAAAGCGTTTTATCTGTTGGCTTACGAAATAGGACCCTGCAATCATGCAAGAAATTTATTGTTGCGAAAATCGTCACATATTCTCTTCCATTATTTTACATCTTGGTAGCATGCGTAACAATTTTTTTTTTCTTTTTCCATATTCATGTATATCTCCAATGTCTGATTTTGATGTTGGTATATTCATCCCATATTGATTATTCTCTGCTGGATTGTGATCTCTTGGCTTATTATCATTTTGGACCTTGCCAAGATGAACAAATTTCTTCTCGGTATCACCTTATATAGAGTATTATGGTCTGTAAGGTCATAAGTTATTCCATTTGCACTTTGTATATATATTTTCTCTCTTTCTTTTTGTTATATTGATATCTCTCCTTTCTTCTAAGATTGTACATTAGGTCCTGTTTATCTCTTTATTATGTTCTCTTTCA